CGACTCAGTTGAAAGGGCATGGTCTGTCAACGTGGGGGCGACCATATGTATATATATATATATATTTTGCTTTTGCATGTGTTTACATATGTACTAGTCTATGTAAAGGTATCTTGGCACCAGAAAAAGCATGTACAAACATGCACGACTGTTTGTACAGGCATAGGCACTAAAAGTAGCCTTCGATAGTCAGTCTGCGCTCATGAAGGCCCCTCCCCAGTAGAGTGGACAAGTTTTGCCAATACGAGTCCAGCCGCTTTCGGTTCTGAATGCGTGGTTTGTTGTCCAGTAGACATCAGGTGCTGTGTGCGGAGGCATGTTGCTAGAGTTTCCCACGGTCACAGACAAATCTATCATGAGCCGGTATGAAACTCAGTATGGAGCACATGTTCATACAGCACTCGCAGACTGCTCTTCTGCACGCGCTTTTCAGTGGCTTTTTTAGCAACCTGCAGGAAAAGATGCACTATGTCTGCCTACTGAGAAGCAGTCCTAGAGGCACAAGACCAACTACTCCGACAATGTCCTCAGCACTGAAACCTATAAAGCTTAAACTCCGAAGCTGCAAAGCCCTAAACTCCTAAACTAAAGGACCCTCGATGCCTAAACACAAAAAGACCCTCAAGCCCTTTTTTGAAAGCTACACCCAATAGGATTGTCAAGATCTGTCAGGGCGGCAGTTGAAGAAGACGCCGTCCTTGGGTGAAACCACAGAAAGGATCAACGACTTGGTTCGGGAGGCTTTTGTCTAGAGGGGTTCTCAACAAGGAGTTCCAAGATTTGTAGGGTTCAGGGTTCAGGATTTAGGGTGCAGGGCTTCGGGCAAGAATCTATGTTTTGCTATCTTTAGTTCATCAACCTATACACGGGCTGGAGGTTTTTCTTTGGGATTTTCGGGGTGCTGGGCTTTCAGGGCTGGCCGGGCATGGGGACCTGATGGGGCCTTGACAAGTTGAGGAGTGTCAGGGTTCAGAGGCCTCAAGCGTGTAGGACCTGTAGGATTTAGATCTGGGTTTAGCAGGGTGCACGATGTCAGCACAGCTTTTACATGCAAGTGTCGACTTCGAGTGAGGCCTGGTTTTGCAGAACCAAGAGTCGTGTGCTAAGCGGCCACTTCAATGACCTACAAACCCAAGGCCCGCCGCACGAAGCCTGGAGTCCGATTTGTTTGCTGACGCTTCCGAGTTCTATTTACTGGATAAACCCTAAACCCTAAACCCTAACTCACGTCTACGCCCAAGACCGGAGGACCTGAATCTCTCCCGGTCTCCGAACAACTCTGGAGCCATTCCTCTGATTCGGAAAACCTGAGGCCACTGGTCACACCATGAAATCGTGCCAATCCTCCTCGGAAGCGGTGGGTTCGGATGACAAAGCCACATGCAAAACGAAGATTGCCAGAGGCTCATTCATTGAATTTCGCGATACCATTGTCCACAGCAAGAGATCAGTGAACAGCTAGGCAGAGGCATGGAACCTCGTGACTGATATCGATTTCGATGTTGGAAGGCTCCCAGGAATCCTGCCCGAGTGGACGTGATGAAGCGTTGATTCTAGTCTTGCTGAGATTCGCTTGTCACCGACCATCGCGATAGCTTTAATTTCATCTCGACCTCAATGTAGGGACATGTGGACATAACAGCGAAGGTGTCTATTACTGAGCCTATTATATGAGAGGCGACGGCGGAATCTTCCAAACGAAACATCTTCAACCGGTGTGCCAATGCTCAATAAAGTGATTAACCTTTCATATTATCTACGCTTGCCACGATGTTAACGTGTCGAAGTTGCAAAGATCACGCTTAATTCATACATCTGATGCTGTCAGTACTACAGATACCCAGAAGTAACACCAACAGCAATCAGAGTCCGCCAGGCATGCAGAGGAAGAGTTGACTTGAAGCCGTTTGCCGGGCAGGCGGGTCACTGATGCACAGTCCCCAGAGCCGCAAAGCAATGGATAAAATAATGCCGGGTTCATCAGTGCTTCAGTCAGTATCGAAAGAATAGCACAAGCAGCTCAAAGCGGCATGCTGTGCTTAAACTGTTTCGTCCTGGTAGCTGAAGTTTGCGACTGCCTGCTGGACTGCGCGACAAGATTCGAAGAGAACACCTTTTATGTTGCGGTGTGGGCATGGGTCTCGGGTTTTACATCAGACCATAAACTATCTTCGATATTCCTAGATCGCTGCAAGGATATCCAGACCTGCTGTTGAGGCACGGAATCCTGCAGATTTTGTGCCCCAAGACTTGCTAGGCATCGCACCCGATTGCCTTGGCAGACGCCGTCGTCCAGCGGATGACAAAGGCAGGGCTCTCTCTCAGGGTGGATGGCGGTAAGGTTTGGGGCCGAGGGGCTTCGGGGGTACAGTGTACGGCTTTTGGCGTAGATCATGATTTCGGTGCCTAGCTTCCAAAAAACTCATCCCATAAATCATGCGTGGTGCCTTCTGATGCGCACAGCGGCATCCTGCATGGCACACTCTCGGTCGTATCCGGCTCGGTGGGAGACTATCCCCAAGAAGCCTTACCTACTTGCAATATCGAGAACTGCTTGACCCCAAACTCAAAACCTGAAGCCCAAAACCCCTAAACCCTAAACCCCTAAACCCTAAACCCCTAAACCCTAAACCCCTAAGCCCTAAACCCTACACCCTAAACCCTAAACCCAAACTCAGAACCTGAAGCCCAAACAGACTTCAGGATCTGGGAGTTCGGATCGGAGGTACCGTACGGGAGATTGGAACCTAAGGTTCGGTTCTCCTTGAAGACCGCATCTGTCACTGTGGGTTTAGTTGAGAGTTTCAGGGCTTCTTCAACGTAGGAGTCAATGCGGTGCGGAAAGCATATCATGCCAGTTTGAAACTCTTCGTTTCAAACTCTTCCGTCAGGTGACCAAAATCCTAGTTGCCTAACGCCCCCCTTCCCTCTCCCTCCCTCTCCTCCATCTGCCTTCCCTCCCTCCCATCATTTCCCGCCCCTCCATCCCCTCCAGCCATCCATCCCCTCCATCCATCCATCCATGCATCCATCCATCCATCCATCCATCCATCCATCCATCCATCCATCCATCCATCCATCCATCCATCCATCCATCCATCCACGCACCCATCCATCCATCCATCTATCCATCCATGCATCCATCCATCCATCCATCCATCCATGCGTCCATGCATCCATGCATCCCTCCATCCATCCACCCACCTATCCATCCATCCATCCATCCATCCATCCATCCATCCGTCCGTCCGTCCGTCCATCCATCCACCCGTCCACGCATCCATCCGTTCATCCATCCGACTATGAATGCCGCTAGAAACCGTGCCATAAACCCTTCCAGAGAAGGCCTGCTATACACTTGTCTACAAACTCTTCTAGATACCCCTTTATAAACCCTTCCATAAACGCTGCTATACACCCCTTCCATAAACATGTCTGTAGACCCTGCCATATACCATTCCATAGACCCTTCTCATGCTTCCCCCAACGGCCAAATTCGTCATCACGAGCGCATGTGCCACCTTGCGATGCACGGTGACTCCTGCTAGCTCTGCCCCGTGAATACGAACATGAGACTAAGGTTAACTACGGTTGCTATTTTGTGGTTAGGAAGAGAAGAAGGTATCCTACAACGCGGTACTACCTTTTAGAGTTTGGGTCGGGGTGAATATGAGCGTAAGAAAAGCAACGCGACGACGACCCAAAGGCCAACCAACCTCATGCAAGCCGATACGGGCCAAGCGGCCATACAACTTCACGACAACAGACAACCTCACATCAACCCCATCATCACATCCAGCCATCCAAACCATTTCCACCGAAAAACCCTTATCCCAACAGGCACTACGCAGTTTACAAGGCCAGGTTTAAGTTTAGGTAAATCCGTAAGGTTCAGCCTTCGGTGATCAGAATAGGGCTAAAGAGAACATGCAAAAGCATGACTACTTGAGATCAGTTTCCTGGACTGCCGTGGAGCTGCGGCTGTCGAATCTGGGAGAATTACGTCACGTTGAACGGCAAGAGCACTTCGTGCATATGTACAATGATATGTGTTATCCGGCTGTGTTGTGCTGCAAGCGAAATTAAATGTCGAGGCAATGCAACGTTTTGCATTGCCGGATGTCATGGGTATGACTGAAATCACACTCGGTGCCACCGATGAGTTGCCCACAAACTCTATGCTAACCCGGTTCATATTCGGACATGGTGGGTTGACTTGAGTCTCGGTTGCCTGAAGTGCGGGGTTGACGATCCAGGGGTTCTTTTTGGTTTGAACAGCGCACACCGTTATTCGCCAAACAGTGTGGTAACGCGATGGGTTTGAGAGTGTTGATCCCACATAATGCTCCTGGAAACAGAGCTCCCCACTTCCTGTTATATACAGCACATCCCAGCGTCCTGTTGTTGTTTACACAGGATGCTAGTCTCCCGCCGTGATGCGGTGCATAGTTTTCGCTGACGACTCATTGTATCAACAATACGACGTGGACCACTTTTGGCCTCGACAACCTTGAAGCGCAGCAGTCGTGGTTCTGCTTGCGTCAGTACTTCGGGAATAGCATTTTAGCAGTGTCCTGGTCTTCTGGTGGTCTCTGCTGGTGGGCTGGTGGTCTCCTGGTGGTCTTTTCGTGGTCTCTTGGTGTTTTGCTGGTCTCTTGCTGGTCTCCCGGTCGTCTCTTGGTGGTTTCCTGGTGGTCTCCACGTCCTGGTCGTCCTGGTCGCCGTGCTCGGCGTCAGTCCTAACACGGCATAAGTGCTGGAAGAACACAGATGGCAACTAGTTGCGATGTGTTTTCCCCAGCAATTTAGGTTCGTCCGCCCGTGATAGTGGTCGTGACAGTCTGCTCCTGATGGCATGCTTCTGGTATGGTCTTTCACTGTTCGGGAATCTCCACTGGCATAACTGAAACGATGTTGTCGTTGAATTTCGCGAAATGGGAGCTCTGTTGCATCCAGCTGCTGAGTGTTGATTGCCGAGCATGTTTTTGATGGCTTCAGCCTTGTCATGTCACTAACCGTGAACTTGCGGATGGTTTGTTGCTGGACCAACGACGAAGAAGAACCCCTATTTCTGGCAGACTGCCGGGCCGTGCCTTCTGCAGCATCGGCATGTTAATACGAAGTGTTAAAATCACGAAGGGATGAAGCTACTCATGGGTTTACACGAGACAGCAAGAGTCTGCATGGGAGGCCGAGAAGCAGGTTCTGCTTGCCACCTATTTGGGCTCGTACGTAAACAACAAGGACCACAGAGCCGCAGAGTGTCATGTCGCACAGATGGCTAGAGGGCTTCCAATTCCTATAATGTGGTATTGTCTTTAAATATTTTGAACTAGTGATCTTATTTACCGCAACCGCATTTTTTCCGGTACATATTCATTGCTCTTTAGATTTTCGGGCGGAGCCTACAATGCGTTTGCGTCTGCCCGGCGGATTTTTTGGTTTGCTTTGGCCCCTTCTGCTAGTTGGTCAATCTTAACTTAGTATATAGAGGATCAGGAACCTAAACCCCCAACCCCAAGTGAAAGGAACCCTAAACCCCAGCCCCCAACCTTAAACTCTGTATGGTATTTACTTTTGGGGGGATCCTCAAACCCAGCTCACCAGTTAAGACTACCCCCAAACTAAAGCCTCGTACTCATCGTACTCACTACTACTGTATTACTACTGTATTTTGTACTACTACTGTGCTACTACCGTACTACTACCGTACTACTATTGTTCTCTATTACTCTACTACTACGGCACTACTACTGTATTACTGTACTATTATTGTAGTACTATTGTACTACTTGCTGTACTGCTACCGTACTAGTACTGTACTACAACTGTATTATTTTACCAGGCCTGAGACTTAGTCGATCGCAGAGGGGAGTGTCGGTTTGTACTGCTACTGTACAACTTTACCAGGCCTCAGATTTGGACGATTGTGGAGGGGAGTGTAGGTTGGAGGAAACAGTCTTCAACATGGAGGGTTCTGGTCATCGTCGTTATCTCGGAGAGGCTCTAGTCTAGCTACCCCTAAACCCCTCGTAGTGTACCACCACCGTAGCACTACTGTATGGCTACTGTACTGCTACTTAACTACTACTGTATTGCTATAATTGTATTTCTGCTGTACTACTACGGTACTGCTGTACCCACTAAACAGCTATCGCCCAGTCTCACAGCCCAACCCCACCCGCTCAAGAGCTAAACAATTTCTGCAGCTGACCATCCGCGGACGACCGCAGCCTTCTACCACTCAAGCCAAAAAGGCCCCCGAAACCTACAGAGCCCTCTTGAACCTTTCCACGTTCCTGCACGAGCCAGCTATTTTTCCGGAAAGTGCAAGTGTTTCAGGACGATCGCCGCCTGTTTCTGGGTCTCGCGAGCCGACGGAAAGTGACGGTGAGGCAGCGGAGCCTCGAAAACGCTGCAAGCACGTAGGCCCAAATTGCCGAAGCAGAAGCGCGCTGTCAGAATGATTGATTTGATTTCCATGCCGTTGTAAGCAAGGCTGAAGTAGTGTGTACCAAGCTTAACTTAAACAGGTGAGAAGTGAGAAGATAAAGCATTCATGAATTAGGATCAGGATTCAACGGCAAGATCCTTCAGCGTGTCTCGAGGAAGAAGAAGGAAGACGATGACATTCCGTGCTGGGAGAAAGCACCCAAGTCTGTGAGTCTCATGGTCCGGTGCCCAGCAGGGTTCATAGTAATCGGGACCTGATTTGCCGAATCCCTCTGGTCGACGATCGTCAAATGTAGTCGACGAAGCTGGCAAAGTCTGCCACTACGACGACGACTTCCGCTACTGCTACTGCTACTGCTTCTGCTGCTGCTGTTGCTACTGCTACTGTTACTCCTATTACCACCACTACTACTGCTGCTGCTGCTACTACTACCACCACTACCACTACCACTACCACTACCATTACCACGACGACGACTACGACGACGACTACTACTTACCATTACTTCTTACTACTACTACTACTACTACTACTACTATTACTACTACTACTACTACTACTACTACTACTCCTACTTCTTCTTTCTACTTACTACTACTTACTACTACTACTACTACTACTACTACTACTACTATTACTACTACTACTACTACTACTACTACTACTCCTACTTCTATTTCTACTAACTACTACCACTTCTTCGTCTACTACTACTGCTGCTACTACTACTCCTACTCCTACTGCTACTGCTACTGCTACTGCTACTGCGACCGCGACGGCTACTGCTACTGCTACTGCTACTGCTACTGCTACTGCTACTGCTACTGCTACTGCTACTGCTACTGCTACTGCT